CCCCCGAAGCTGACCTGGCCAGCTGCCTCGGGACATGGATTACTTGAGCCAAAATGGCTTGAGCCAAAATGGCTACGGAAGGAGGAGGAGGAGGAGGAGGAGGAGGACGACGACCACCTCCTCGACCAGTGAAGAGGAGAGGGCCCCCGAAGCATTTCCACTCAAATCCCTCCCGTCCCTCCTCCGAGCGATTCGGGACGGCCCTGGCAAAACGTTCCTCGGCCCATCACCCTCCGCGCTGCTGAGGGGGGATGGCTCAGGCGGCAGTTACAGACGCCTCTTAGATGGGGACCGAGTATATGAGGTCGAAGGATCGCGCCGCATCAGCATCGCCAGTGCATCGCCGATGCATCGGCGATGCATTGGCCAAGCGTCCGCGACGTCGGCGGTGCATCGGCGCAGCGGGCGTGGGGAACGTCGGGCTCCACGTCAAGCCGCATCGCCGATGCATCGGCGATACGGCGCGATCCTCTGACCCCATCTACTCCGATCCCATCTAGGAAGCCTAGAGCAATGCTCTGGGCATCCCGAAGCCATGCAGGGGGTGAGTGACGGGATCTGGTCAGCGAGATCCCAGCGCTCCCACCACCTCCGGAACCCAGGTGCCCTGACTCCGCCGCTGGCGCGGCGCGGAGCGCGATCCTCCTCGCGCCGTCGCGCGGCGCCCTCGGGCAGCAGGGAGGCCCTCCGGCCTGCAAAGCTCGAGTAGGGGATCGACTACCGAAGTGATTCACCCCACCATGGATTTCTCCGTCGACTCTGCAAAAAAAACCTAGCACTCTCTTCCTGGACTATCGACGAACTAAGCGAGTTTCGGGCGCAGGCCGATTCTCGGGTCGGGCGAAAGGGGGGGATAGCAAAGGGGGCGGGGGGGGGAAATCAGCTCACGTAGCTGATTTTCCCGGCGCCAGAGGCGGCTATGTATCGAGGAATGGGCCCCTCGGTGAGGCCGAAACCAGCTGCGTGCAGCAACTTTCGCAACCCCCCCTTTCCCAATCCCTCCCTTTCGCCCGGCCCGAGACTCTGCAGGCGATCCCCTGCTCGAACAGCGGCGCAGAGCGCGGTGACCCCCTCGCGCCCTCAGCTCCGAGACCCGGCCCCGCCCGCCGAGGCCCGCGCCGGCCCCTCGCGGTCCCGCGGGGCGAGCTCCCGCGCCCCCCCCGCGCTCGGCGAGCCCAGCGGGGCCGCGCCCGCACGGTCCTGCCCAGCCTCGAACGGATCCCTACCCCCGAGATGGGCAAGCCACCAGCGATGCCGACCTTGGGGATGGGCCCCGAGCAACAGGGGGGGGGCCTCCCCAAGGTCGGCATCGAGGTAAGGCGCTGTCGAACATATAGGGATAAGGATAGGCTTCGAACTGGTAAGGTCCGGCTCGGATGCCTCCAGCGCCCCCACGGTGCTCAGCGTGGTCAGCGGCGGGGGCGGCGCGCCGCCCTCCGCGTCGCTGCTTGTTGGCCGGGGGGGCTCCAGCGCCAGGGCGCCCAGGCCTGCCCTCGGCGTGGTGCGCTGCGGAGGCGCGCCGCCCTCGGCGCCCCTGCCCCGCCAGGGGGAAGCGACCTGAATGCTGCAGGGGAACGAGCAATGACACGGACACAACAACTCGGAGGTCCGCGCGGAGTTCTCGGATCGGCTGCAGAAAAGTACGCTTCTGCTTCCTCCTCCCTCTTCCCTCCTCCCTCCTCCCTCCTCCCTCCTCCTCTTCTTCCTCCTCCTCCTCCTCCTCCTCCTCCTCCTCCTCCTCCTCTCTCCACTCCTCGGATCGGCTGAGTTCTCCTCGGCTTCCTTCCTCTCTTCTCGTCTTATTTCCCCTCCCTCCTCCCTCCTCTCCTCCTCATCCTCCTCCCTCCTTCTCTATACTTCCTCCTCCTCCTCCTCCTCCCTCCTCCTCCTCCCCCCCTGGCGGCGCCTCCGGCGCCGCCCCTGGCGCGCTCCGCGCGCCAGGGAGGGGGCTCCAGCGCCGATGCGAGAACTCCGCCCGTGCCTCCGAGATTTCCTGTTCATGCCCTTGCTCGTTCCCCTGTGCTGGGCTGGGGCGGGGAGTCACCTCTGCTGGGCGCAGGCCTCGGCGACAGCGACGCTTCCGTCTGCCCGGCGCCGATCGTCCGAGGAGGAGGCGACGCTTCGGGTGCACAGCGCCCAGGCTCCGGTGCCTCCCCGTGCGGCGACGGGGCGGCGGCCGCGGCG